TCTGAGCCCTCTTGCTCCTGGCCTGGTCGGCGGCGCCGTTTGTGTCACCGCGAGAGGCGATCCGCGAGCCATCAGGCTGGGCACGGCGCGGTGAATTGTTCATCTTGTCGCTCGAGTGGGCGGGATTGCTGGACGAGGTTCGTGGAGGGGCGACGGGCGCAGTCGACAGGCGGTCAGCCCTCGAGTGCTGGTCGGCCGCACGAGTCGCGCTGGTGGGAATGCGGGAGTTTACAGGAGCGCTGGTGTCGGATGCAACGGCGGCGCCTGGGCCGCTGTTCTTGCGAGAGGGAGGACGCCTTGACGATGGTGGTGTTGATGCGCCCTGGGCATTGTGGATTTCCCGATTGGGGGAAGAGTGCGTCTGCGTGTACTGGCGGTTGGAGGTTGGCAGAGAAGACGACAACGCGGTTGGCTGGTGAGGAGGGGCCGTTTGGAGAGCAGCCGACGACATCCTTCCGCGTTGCTACGCGTGATGGCCGGCCCACTAGGGGTCAGTTTGACGGATCACTGCGGAGAACGGCGAGAGCAGCTGCGAGAGAGAGACGCCGGCGTTGCTTTCGTTGTGAGGCCGTAGTCGATGTTTTTTTGATTTGAATCCGAGAGCCGGGCAGCGGATGAAATGAAGCCCGTGTATGTTATAACGATTGGAGATGACCCGATGTACAATCTTGAACTCGCTCGTCAGTCAAGCAAAGAGGAAAAAAGGATGGTCCAGCGGCACTACGCAGCGGACGCTTGAGCCTCAGCAGCAGTAGCGGCTGGATGGTGTTGAATTAGAGAGGAGGATCGGAGAGTGAAAACGGGTCAAGAGCCAGACGGCGGCTACTAATCCTCCGTGCTAGAGAAAATAAGGGCGGGCCAGAGAAATTGAGGACAAAGACAGAACGAGGGAAGCGCGTGTTGTAAGCGTGAGGTGCGCCCAAGGAAGCAATTGCAACAGGCGCTACTATTTCATGGCCCGTTTTCGACGACGAAGACGAAGACAAAGACGACTTGGGGGTTTCTTTTTTTTTCCCTTCTTCTGGCGGTTGTTTCACAGACGAACGTCGTGGTCCAGCAGATGGCAGAAAAGCGAGTCCCCTGAGTGGGCAGGCCGTTCGGACGCGCGCAGGGCCAAGGGGGGAGCTGACAGGGTTGTGCAGCGTAGTGTAGCAGTAGGGCAGGATGAGCTCGGATTGGGTGCCTGTTTGGTCCTTGAATGTCCCCCGTCTGCGGCCCCGATGGACGGAGCTGGAGAGATTGATCAAGGCGAAGATTGCAGGTGATGTTTTGGAGTCGTGAGTTGTGGTTGAGCGCTGCGCTGTGCTGTACTGTACTGTAGCTTTTAGCGATTGAGGCCCGGGGCTGACCTGAGCTGAGCTGACCCGAGCTGATGGGCAATCTGACGAGGCTCGTTGCCACTGGCAGCTACCAAATTACAGCACCTGTACTGTGCTCGTAGAGTTTCGGAGGTACAGCAAGTACAGGTACGGCTTCAGTTTGATGCTCATTTGATGTCAACCTGATCAATGTCAATGCCGAGATGAGGCAGGCATAGCATTACAAAGAGCAGTCCAAGCAATGTCCAATTGAATCATATAACTCTAGGTAATCTTGGAATCACTCTCACCGCGAAAATAAACAAACCTATCATAATAGTACCTACCAAGGTAAACAAAACTCCAGCCGGACCAGCCATGCAGCAGCAGCAGCAGCACGCACGTACACACCCTCGACGAGCACAGCCAATCTTGCGGTTGTGCCACAAAAGTAAGACCACCCGCGCGCGCACCGGACTATTGCTATTACTAGGTACGAGTATTATTTACAGTACCGTCCACTGCGCTTCATCAAGGCCGCACAAGGAGATTGGAGGCGGCTCAGCAAAGGGCGGCCGAAGCTGGAGCTGTCAAACCCGCGAGGCCAAGGGCTCAAGGACCAGCTTGGCGAAATTGATGGCCCAGCACGAGATTGAGACGTGGGCCTTTGTTCCCGTTTGCCCTGTACCCGGTACATCTGAGCAGGTCAATGCCTCCCCCGTCCTCGACGCCTCTGTTCGACCGACGCCTTTTCCCATCCCGCCGTCCGTCCCGAAGTGAAGCGCACACAATCGTGGTCGAGATACCTGCCGCCGCACACGTCTGGCCGTGCCGGTCGAGGTATCTGGCCCAAGCCGAAACGCGCTAGGTTAGGTAGATTTCAGGGGTGTCCCACGTCGTTCCTGCATGCATGTACTAGTACAAAGTACAGATTACAAGCAGCATGCATGATTGACTGGCTGGGCGGGAGCGTCACGATGCGGATGCTTGAGATGGAACCTCGCCCAAATTAGCTCTCAAGCAGCAGCCGCGAACCCTGCCCGGCATTGAAGGGGAGAGAGAGGGAAAAAAGGGAAGGCTGGGTCGCTGTATGTAACGGTGTTGTTTTTACGTATCAATTGTGAGCTGGTTTGTTTGGTGCCGTACAGAGAACAAAGAAAAGTACCTATATCGATGCTGATGAGGCAAATAACAACAACAAACCCCTTGTCTCTTTGTTTACATGCTTTGATGCAAGAAGCAAGCAAGCAGCATACACACTTCTCCAGCATCAATTGAGAACTGATAGACACAGCAGACACACAGACGGGACCTGTTTCGCCCCCCCAATAGTCAGTCAGCATTGCCAAACCACGACATCATCATCATCGTCACCACTACGAGTATTTCCTGCTCATCCCGTCCGTCCCTTGCTTACTACCTACTTAGACTACCACTATTAGGTAGGTAATAGCAACTTGTACTGTACGAGTACGGGCTCCCCAGACGAGGCTGGATACTACTTGTATTCCAGTTCCAATTTTCCTTCGGTGACGCCGCAAACCACCTCAACCGGTTGGCCTCGACGCAAGGGGCCCCCGTAGCGCAGCCGTGGGATCCATGCAGCCCTTTTCCCGCATAGTACTAGGTAGCTCGTAACATATCTCATACATGTTACTTGCACATGCACGACTACGAGTACACTAACAAACAATCAAACAAACAAACAAACAACAAAATAAACAAAGGCGAAATGTCGCTTGCACTTTGCCATTGAGCGTCAATAAGGAACAAAGAGATGAAAGGAGGCCAAAAGATGGGCGAACCCTTAGCCCGCGGCTTGTACCGCAATATTACTCGCAACACGCTCATCTACGAGCACACAGACGGAGACGGGATCTTGAATCACGTTGTTCCCTCTCGCGCTCTCTCTCCCTCGCTTCCTTTGCAACCCCGGCAAAGCCTGCGAAGAGTGAAATGCGGGCGGCTAGTATGAAGCACCACTAATCTCGATCCCGGCTGTGAGATTGCGATGCTGCGCGCTTTTGACCCCCATGCCGAAATCATCGTTCTTGCAACCAATCTCGCCACGCAAAATCATATGATTTGCTTTTTGTTATTTTATTTATTTTCCCGCCCGAGGCGGTCGTTGCTGCGGTCGGTTTTTTTTTTTTTTGGTGAATTCGGTCTATCGGGTTTTCAAATTTGCCTACATGATGTCGATTTCCCAATTGTATGAGCATTGATAGATGTGGACATTAGTAGCCTGTCTCGTTAAGATGAACTATACGGAGCAATTCCAAAAAGCTCATTCGCAAAACAGACAGACACTAACACGCAGCAATTGCCCAATATCGGCTCGCCATCACAAATCAACAACTGAAAAGAAAACATGACAAACCTTACATTGTCTCAGCCCGCCACTACCAGCATCAACAGAGACCCTGACCCCATCTCGTGTGACCTGCATCACGTCCAATCCCCCCATCATTACGCTTTCCGTACCTGCATGACCGATGCTACCCTGTTGATTTCTTGGTGTTTTACATGCGGCTACCCTATTTGCCTATCGATTCGAAGCATTGAAAACCTTATTACACCTTTTACCTACTCCATCTGTCCAAGTTGGTGTCACCAGAAATAAACTATCATCATCCAATTCATCGTTTTGCCCTTTCCAGTCCGGAGCCACAGCATACGAGCCCCAAATGTCCCGCTTTCACCCCCTTTGCGAAAGCCGCACCCGAGACAAAACCTCATCCCGTCGTGAAACCTCCCCAATTTCCACATGCTCTCTCTTCTCGTAAAACAATGTTTCGTTGCAATAATGCAGCATGAAACACACACACACGCACACACACACACTTTTCTTCCGTGCTTTTTTTTTTTTTTTTGCCCTTCTCCTGTTCGATGCAACGCTAACAAAAGGACTCGTGCTGCACGTAAAGGATCCCGTAGATCCACCGCATTGTTTGTGGCGCGCCTGTCGTTCAAATCGCATTGAGGCCGGAAATGAGCGGCTTGGGCTTGGTTCGAGTTAAAATAGCTTCATCTTAGCCCGCAAGCGGCCCATCTTTTCCTTTGCAATGGATTACGGAACAGAGGCCGAATGCACAGCGGCGCCAGTTCGGTGAGCTGGAGGCATTGGCAAATAGCAACTACCTAAGTACCAGATACTACGGTGCAGGTCAGTCACGGCGAGTGGTGGCACTCATCCAAGTACGGTTTCCGCAGCTGGGATGGTGGATGACCCATGATATTAAATCTTCGATTAGCATCTGTGCATCCAAATGAGATCGCCTGACTACATTAGATACCAAGGTAGATATACCCGTCCATCTATTTAGCGCGCCAAGTTTGCCAACCCGCCCTCCAACTGGTGTCTTGCATGGAAAGCCTATTGCTTCATCAAGGGCGTTGCCGCCCAATCAGGGCATTGTCAGATCCTTGGTCTATTCCCAATGGAGACAATAACAATGCTTTTGTCTTCTTTCCAAGGGATGTTTCCTCCGTGGTGTCTTGGATTCCTCCCGGTACGTTCATAGAAGCGCCTAGGGGTGAACAGATGCTCCGTCGGCAGCGAGAGCGTTGCATCCCGTTCCTAAAACACACTGGCAAACGACATAGTATGTGCATGTCATTGTGAAAGATTCCACTGGTAACCACATCAGTCATCGTTGTTCCATATTTTTTTCCTAAATTTTACCCCCCTTCATGAGGATTTTACAGCTTAATCGATATGTCGTAGATATCTAGCAATACCGCAACCCCTGTGACGGTTGCCGTGTAAGCCAAGAGAACTCCAATGGCCACAACCGGTGTCGCATCCAGTGTTGGGATAGTCATATTGACCAGACCCGTCAGCAAGTTGGCAATGAGAAACACTGCCAGGCCGTTGCGATTATACGCCTTCAACACAAAGCTCGTGGACGCTTCATACGCCTCCTTCTCGGATCGCGCGTCCGCGGCGTTGTAAAATGCGGGGAAGAAGATGGTATCAATGGCACAAAAGGCGAGAATCTGCCAGCAGTTGAACGCCGCCACCCAGAGAACATAGGGCAGGTTGGCCAGCCGGCGCGAGACGGTCAACCCAAGCCCAAAGTTGTAGCTGGTAACAATGGTGTACAGCACGGTCCAGATTCCGGCCCAGACGGCTATCGTCATGAGAAGAGTATTCCTTTGCATGCCCGCGGTCGAATTGCTGCTTGACGTGATGTTCCGGGGAATGATGAATTTGCCGAGATCTTGTCCGGCAAGAAAGATGGCAAGATAACCGATGAAGCTAAAGATGCCCTCCCGGTTCATGGAGATGAGATCGACTCTTGGGGCTGTAAGGACAAATCCCTTGAGAGCCGTATTCTCGAGCAGAGCCTGGTATGTCCCCACCAGAAGCAGAGCGAGTGCGGCGTGCGAGGGGATAATATCAAAGATGGCCTGGAAAATGGCCACAAATGGGGGCAAAAACCCAAGGGTGAAGAAGAAGTTCCAATGGACGCCATATTCCGAAACATGCTCGGCATACTCGAGCCCTTTGACGCTGAGAAGGCGAATGAAGCCGAGAACCAGGAGTGGGATGGAATGACGTATCGACTGAAGTAGGCGGGTGGCCAGCGGGACTCGGCGACCCGAGGCTCGCTCTTTGAGAACCGGACGAGCCGCAACAATGCCGGCGGAGAAGACAAAGGAGCCAACGCCCATATCCATGAGGGACGTGCCCCAGGTTTCCACCTTGGCAAACCGCCGCGGGAAGAGCCGGAAATCCACGGCAAGAATGGCAACGACGGTGGTGATCATCATGTAGCCGCGATACGTCGTGAGAAAGGGCTTGATGCTAAGAGCCGGAAGAGGCCCTGCGGCAACCTTGGACTGGGCATTTGGCGGAAGCCTGGGCTTCTTCTTTGAACCCGCGGCGGATGAAGGCAGAAGCCATATCAAAAAGGCCGGCGCCAGGAGAAGCAGATTCAACAAGACGGGCGAGTCGGAGTAAAGGGTAGTGGCCAGCAGGAAAGTGCCGACGGTGAGTGAGAAGTCGACGACAAACCCAAGAACCGAGTACGGCTTGAAGAATGACTGCCGAGCCTGCAGTACAGACCACAGAAGAACGGCTGCCTAAGCATCCGAGGTTAGCATCTACAAGTCTTAAATCATTGGAATGAAGCCAGCGCAAAGCAAAGCAGATGATGCCGAAACTTACGGGCGCGACGAGCGTCACATAGCCGATCTCCGAGACGGAGCCTCCCGTCAAATTGGACACGAAGTCCTCTTTGCGCTGCTTGTAGCTCGCCGCATTAGACATTACGACGTATTTTTGTTTTTTTTTTTGCTTCTGAAAAAACAACAACCTATCGCATGATAGCTGGATGACGATGACGATGAAATGAAAAGCAAAACCCAGAGATGCTGGCCTCCAAGCAGCCCGAGCGTTTTGACTCTTGCTCCTTTGATGTCTTTTTTGTTGTGCTGTCAAGCTGGCCGGTGGTGATGGCCAATCAGTTTGCGCTTCGTGGACAGTTGGCACCCATAACGGGCCATCACGTGCGCGACACCATCAGTCATCCTATCAAAGGCCGGCCAGAGGAATGACGATGCTTCCATTCTTTCGACAAACCAACAATGAGACACTATGAAACCAAAAAAAAAAAAAAAAAAAAAAAAAAAAAAAAAAAAAAAAAAAAAAAAAAAAAAAAAAAAAAAAAAAAAACAATTAGAAAAGAAACAAAGAGTGACATTGAAAACTTTTTTTTCATACTCTAGAACTTGCTAAAAGGAATGACATTGTTTCTCCTTTCTTTGTTCTCGGTGGCATAGCGCGGTGACTTGCTGACCCGTGCGTCTTTTTGTCACAAGGAAGCGTCACCAACGATGGGAATCAAAGCTCAGCCGCCACGTCAGTTCCTTTGGCCTTTGTGATGTAGAGGAAAAGAAAGGAAAACAACAGAATCCGTGCATAAAGGGGAATGCGGGTTGATTATTGCCGTTGGCCCAGACGTGGCGTAATCAAAACAAATCGCGTTGTTGTTGCATCGTCAAAGCTTGATGATATGTATCTGATGAACAATCAGTAAAAGGGGCTGGGCCATTGTGATATAACTAGAAAGATATCCCGAAATATCACTCGCATTATAGTCCATGCTTCATTGCTATTTCTGGACTCAAACATTCAGCACAGATTTGTTCAACACTGAAACGTCTACTCGCCTTCATCATGTCCTTCTCAAGAAACCGCCGTCCGCGTCGCCCCGTCATCGAACCCATCCAAACGGGGCACGCAAATCTCGTGTACAGATCCCAAATATTCTCTAGCCGGAGACTCAGCCCTTTGTCGGGCGTCGTCTCAACAGAGGTCGCTTCTCTCGACTCGGTCGTGTCCGGTGGTTGCCGCACGAGGAGGGAGATGCGGTTCGTGGAGAAGCAAGCTTTACACAGGCTGCATATACCAGGGACCGCACCTAATGTGACGAGACAGGCAAATGTAGGCTTTCATCCTGCTTACTTTGGGCCATACGTTCGGCGGCCATCCATTGCCGTCGAGCCGCCTTCTTCTGCAAGGAGTCATCATCACATTCCCGCAAGTCGAGGTGACACCTCTTTGCCTTGTTCGCCTACTACTCTTCGCATGGCGCTTTCTGTCACTCTGTCAGCCAACTACACGCCGACATCTCCCTCTTGTGAATCCGATATTCGACGGAGGCATCTTGCGGATATTCAACGAGCACGCCTAGAACTCTGGCGGCAAGGAACCCAAAAATTCGGCCGCCTCGAAGATGCATACGTGTTTGTCAGGCCGCTACCACTCGGAAGATACCATGGCAACATCAGATCGCCGTCGATAGATCCAGTCTCGCCATGCACTGTGTCTCCTTCTTCGCCATTGCCATCTCCTACCTTGCCATCTCCAGCTTCGACACTGTCGAGACGGTTGTCTGTTCGAGCTATTGTCCTTTCAAAGTCACACCCGCCCATTGGCTTGAAGCGTGACTTTGACTTGGATGCCTTGAGAGCAACAATTCCAGATCCTCTGCCCTCTCCTCGGTCGCCCAACTTTAATGCCGAGGCACTGTTGTCCATTTTGGAGCCATTGAACAGAGAACAAAGGTCGTCCTCTTCTCCAGATTCCGACTCCGCCAATGCAAGCAATAACAAAAACGGTCATGAGGATGGAGAACAAGGGAGTGATGGAGACTCAAGAATGAGTGTGGAAACCATAGATTCTCCCCAGCCCCGTAAGAGTCCAAGAGTCTCGGCTCAACCTACTGTTGTGCCCATCCGTGAGTTTCCTCTTTCCCTATGGCTCACACTCTCGACGAGCTTCAACTAACATCAGACACAGATGTTCAATACGCACGGGCACAGTTACCAGCGTTAGCCGCCATCATCATGTCGGATCGAGTGCGACGAGGAGATACGATAGAGCTGGCATTGCCTCATCCGCAGGTATGGCCTGAGACGGCAGCATATGTCTACACTGGAGAGGCACAGCTTCTTACGGAGCAGACCAAGGAGAATATCCTATATCTGGGTGGAAAGATCTAAAAGGGGGTACATGTTTGGGCAGCAACTGAGGGTACATATCAAAAAAGCGGCTATTTTTCTTCTCTACTAGACACTTCTTCTTTTTCTCTTCTTCTTCTTAGACTTACCCTCGTTTCGGGAAATGGCGAAAAGCTCAACCAAGTTACAATGCTTTAGACTCTTCAGCTTCATAAACTGAATCATTGTTCCCTTGTCAACTACACACTTCGTTACTCCATCCTCTTTGTGGTGATGCTAGTCAACTACCTCAATCTTAGGCAGCCTCGCTCATCTTCTTCGTATACCAGAATTGATCATCTCGCGTGTGCTCCTGTCACATTCATTCATACGGCTTTGCCCTCGGAACAGCCGACATCCACATCAGCGTCTTGGACTTGATGACATTCGACTACACATACATAACACACATGTATGTTGATTAACACCTTAAAAAAAACCCCAACAGGTCACAAGCATCCAATACAAAAGTATAATCGCCATATCCACGCGTCTCCGTGTTCTCGTTATTCACAAAATGACTATTCACATAAAACACTGCCACAGCACTCCCTCAACCAGTAATACTCCGCAAAACATATGACCAATCCTGCTCTTCCATCAATGACACATCACTTCACCTCCATCGAAAACCAGTAGAAAGGGCGCAACAACCTCTTTCATCCCGAGCAACCCCATCCAATCATCTCAGCTCATCGTATTATTATCTCTCCCCCCCGTAGGGCTGGCCATCCCCCTTGCACCGATACGATACGATACAGCCCACTTCCTCTCTCTCTCTCTCTCTCTCTCAGCTGAGAGAAGCAACATCGCCGCACGAGAAACGCACGAGGTGGCGAAACACACAAGACAGCCATCTCTAGCTCTTACATAACCCATTCGGGGCTAAATCTTTGCGGCCGTTTGCGTAGCGCGCCCTCTAGAATTACGAAATACGGAAATCCTGGTTCACCCAAGTTGACAGATCATCAATCGATAGCCGGATCTCCCGTCGTCATTTTTGCAAATCCCCAATTTGCTTGTGGGTGACGCAGACCGGATGGTTGGATGTCATCGGGCTGGGCGGCGGCGGTTTTTTTCTTCTTCTTCTTTGGTTTGACAGACAGGGCTGAAGGGAGGCGTTACACACAGACATCACACTCATGTAAAAAAGGGCTGTTACTATAGTACCTAGGTAGTTTGATGTGGTCACCAGCTATTTGTCACGACACTTCAGTTTTCTAGCTCAATCGAAACAGGGAACCGGGCAATGGTTCAAGCTGAGAGGGGGGGAAGGACTTCCTTTGCTTTGCTCGGTCTTGTTCTGAATGCCTCGGGATACAACACAGCCGGCTAATGTGACAACAAAACAAGATGAGTCAAGTGAGTCTAGCTGTTAGTCGTGTGCCTTTTGCCGCCAAGTCATGTATGTACAGACATGGGACACAGCCTACAGGTACGAGGACCAAAGAGCAATGGCAATGACAGCAGCAGTTTGCGAAATCATCACACAAAAACGATGCCCGTCCGTGACACGTAGGTTCATCCAAGACGGGCAATGCAATGCAGATGCAGATGCAGATGCAGACGCAAAGCGAAGCGTCCCATGCAATCTGGAGCTGGCATACTCGTGCCAATCTGTACGAAGCAAAGTCCGTTCTGGCTCCAATGCATGCTTGATGCCGGATTCCAACATTTCGGCATCACGACAGTCTCTCTCTCTCTCTCTCTCTCTCTCTCTCCCCTTCTTTCACGCCCCCTCCATCTCCCATCTTCATTCCCCCCCCCCCCCTTCTCCTCATCTTGGGATCATGGCCCCCACTGCGTCAAGGCTAGCTCGGCTGGTTATGCACAGAATACCGTCTAGGCAATGCACACTCCCTCTTCCGGGACAATCCTCCCATCATGATGGTCCACGATCCATGACGGGCCAGCAAGCGAACGCCTCACCTGAAAAGCGATAAGCCCCGACCTTTGGTGGCCTCGAGGAGAGAGGAGTGGAGATGGCTCTTTTTGTCCTTTCTTTCTTCCCACGCCCATGTCCACCCAGCTAATCTGGACTTTGCCTCGCTTCTGCTTGCTACTCCAAACTTGTACAACACTCGTTATATACGCTACACACACGAATGCCCACTGCAAAGCATGCTGGCTGCGGCCGGCTGGGGTCGCATTGTAGCTGGCAAAGGGGGAAGAGGGCAATCAGGAGATGGATGCCGCAAAACGCAAGCGAGGGCGACTGTCACCAGGGCCATGTCACTGGCTGGTCAATTGAGAAGAACAAGCTGCGCGAGATATTTGTCCTCCCTCTCTCCTCTCCATGAACGACTGCAATCGACGGCCTCAACTCGAACAGCACAGCACAGCACGCAAGCAACATGGGATTGGTGGGCACAATGCCTGCCTGGCAGTTGAGTTGAAGGGCCTGCCACATGTATGCTAGCCCCGTGTCTGCGGCGCCGGTTTGAAGCCAAGTCAAAGCTTACAGGGGCACTCTATCTTGCCTACGTGCTTAGCTGTAGATGCACCCAGACGGTGTCTCGATGGCGCTCGTTACGTGGACAAGCCATCCATTTGATCGCTGCCGCGCCTTCTGCTGCCACCTGCAGCTTTCGGCCTTGGTGGCTCAGCCCGTACGTGTACTGCACTTCACTGCAACTGTACTCGTAAGCATCAAAGGCCCTCCGTAATCAGTCCGTTTTGCGCCGTCAGCTTAGCAAGCCTGGATCATACATATTGCATCGTGCGTACAGTAGAACGGGGTTTTTTTAGTCCCGCAGCGTCTTTCCCCCCGCGTTTGCATGGTTTGAGTTGAGCCGACTGCGGAGATAAACAACAACGATACGATACGATGGGCTCAACTCCCTTTTGGTGGATATCGAAGATGGAGCTCTAGTTTCCCTCTGCGCGCAACATTTATTATCTGGGGGAAGAGAGCCCGCTACCGCAAAAAGAGGATCGCGAAAAACAATCGGAGGAGGGAGGGGGGAGTCTGCTCGGACGGGACGCCGTATCGGGGGGTCAAGGGCCGAAAAGCGTTGGGAGGTTTTTTTTTCTTTTTCTTTTTTTTTTGGCTAGGAGGTACTATAGTTAGTTGGCTGGCTATGGCGGTTATGTACGGTGGGCATGGCGTTGCAGTTTGCAAGCATGATGCGATTCTAACCCATCGGTCCATGTTGACGCAGTATTCTTTTGTTGTTGTTGGCTCCCAGTGAAGATTTTCCTTTTTTTTTTGCGCCCTCTCTCGCCTCAACAACCAAAAATCAAGGAATGTTGCCAAGCAAGCGGTTTTTTTTCCACTGTGTGAGTCATTGTCAATGGAAGTTGAAAATGGCTTCCTGTTCTAACACTTTAGCCTTCCGGACGGACCGGCTCGTCGGACACCGTTTGCTCGACGGTCCAAAGTTTCTGTTTTTTTTTTTTGGACAGTTATCAACTGTGTCGAGGCTTGCGGGCTTTTAACTTCCAGCCAATGAATGAGCCCAGCTTGGCTAGGTAGTTGAGAGAAGAGACAACAACACCACAGCAGGAATAGGTAATAAAAGCAGCGTATAACTCCTTACAAAAAAAGAGCAAAAAAAAAAAAGAGCTGAGAAAAATTGCCATTGGACAGCCAATATCGTGCAGGGTAGGCGGGCACGCCAAAGCAAGTCGGCACAGGCGCGAGAAGCAACTTTTGCGTCTCAACGACTCACGCTTCAACGGCCTAGGCTGCAACAAGAGCCGTGCAGAGGACAATATCTGACCTGTCAGCTACAGATGCAGCCGCATCCAGTTTAGCTGGCAGTACATGAGCAGCTACTCCGGAGATACTTTTGGCCCTCAGCATCAGTACGCGCACCGGTACAAAGGCCAGAGGTCGGTCGTGTTGGAACTAATATTAGCCCAAAAGCAGCACAACGCACGCAGGCAAGGCACAGGCACAAGCGCAAGCATCATGTATCATGTATGCGGCACATTTCAGTCTTGTACACGTAGCCAAAGCCCATTTGACTCATCCAACGGCTTCACGTTGTTTTCCCCCACCAAGTGTGCAAGCGACGGGCCAAACCAAACCATTGAGTGAAAACGCAATCGCCGGCCTTTCGTGGGGGAGAGAGATTGGGCTAGCTGAAAGCCGAGACCCTCCACAGACTTGCTGCGTTGTTCCGCTTCTGCCCTGAATCTGCTTACTGGGACACGTTTGATGCCGTGCAGGCTGCCGTGCTGTACGAGAGAAGCGAAAGCGAGATACGATGCGGTGGGATGAGATGCTAATGCACCCAAATACCAAAGAGTGCCGTGCCTGGTCCAAGCATGTGTCAACGGCTTCAATGGTTGATACATCAGGGCAACAGTCTTGCTGCCAGGGCCAGCCACCTGAGCCAAGTATTAGCCCTCATCTTCATTCTTCGTAACTAATGGCCATCTTCTCGGCGCTGTTGGTCGTTACCGGGCGTGTGTATATGTGTGACGAGCCCAGATGGCATGCATTCTCCCGAGCAGCACTCTATCTTGACTTTTGCTTCGTTGGACCCTTAATTTGTGACTCCGACCGGATATCGACGTGGGGGCTGGCCAGGTATCTCTTCTCGTCCCGTCTGCGCTTTTGCCTCCAAACGACCGTGGAAGAATTGAAGCCATGCCTCTACGAGCAGGCAAGCCCGGCTCGAATGGTCCAAAGGATGCGCCGCTAAGGCCAGCCACGGCTGCTAACACTCGCGCCTCTCTCCGCATTTCATTTCGCAGCCATTTCTCTTTTCGAAATGTACAGGCGTGGTTTTCTTTTTTTTGCCTTTTGCTTTTTGCCGCCGCTCGCTTACTGCCGCAAGCCAGCCGCCCGCGCCGCAAAAAGAAACGTCTTAGTCTGTAGAAACCCAACAAATAATGAATGAGCATTTTGCGTGACCGAAAACCCGACCTCCTGCTTCTGTCGTGCCACGAGTTGGTGGCGGCGGCAAGTGGTGCATCATGGAGCTGCACATGTATCGACGGGCTCGCTGTGGATTACCTAAAGGGCTGGGCCCTGCATATTGGCCAATCTCAGC